TACAGCAATATCTACTTACATTCAACAAATGATGAGTAAAATGTGCTATCGGGGATATATACATACTAATGCAGTGTGTAGACTATTCTTTCGTGTCAGTTACACAACTGGCGTCTCCATGAATTGGATACTTCTGTAGTTTACCGCAAATTTTAACCCACGGCGTCTCACAAGTTTCCAAAAAACAATTGTCAATTGTTCATGAATTCGCAGAATTATCTGGGTAACTTGAATAAATACAAAATGGCGACGTTCGCTCTAAGCTGAATGAAGTTAATGGCGTAAGCTGCGCATGGACTCAATTCATGATCATATGTCGAGATACAATTCGTTTTTTGTGATTGTATTTGTTTTACTCTAAGACAAAAAAATGTACCGCTGTAAATAAATTTATATTAATCGACTCTTGGTATATATCGAACAATTCTTGTAACCTGGACCGTTAATCTACCAAGAATAAATTTAAAGTTACTTAAACATTTTAAAACGTTTAATTTTTTTAATTGAGTTTCATTGTGGCTTATGGGAGATCGTAACGATGGTCTTAGCAATAACATTATTAAATCGTTTAATTGATGAATTCCCAAACCACCATTAAAGGCATTGATAAATCATTGAACATATGTGCATCTTCATTGAGAGACCTATACCTATATATATATATATATAAAACCCCGCCGTCGACGCCGAACGTGGTATTTAAAACTCTCCTGACATGTCCGTGAAGGTTCGACGTACTTGCCTTTGGTATTAAGTGTGGGACAATTCAATCGAGTGAAGATAACATCACCAATGTTCTCGCATAGTATACAGTCGAGTTTAGTGGATGTGTATACTTGTTTTAACGATCCCGACGCTCCTTTAGGTTACTCCCCATACGCCATTTAGGTTAATGCCTCCGGCAGAGTGCAGCGCAATATCTAGTGCTTTATTGATTACCATTTCCCGAGATGATATCTTCTTTGTCTGAGATGGCAGCCTTAGAATCGTGACCCTATATTGCGAGATGCAGCTGCAGAGAACGACCATGTTTGCGTGCTATCAGGAAAGTAAGGCTTCGTTAGATTTAGATTTACTGACGACACTGGCAGTGCATCCAACGGATGATTATTTTGGTTTAAAGAGTATTTAGAGAGTTAGATACAATAAATCTTGTCGACAGACTGGGTATGGTCCCGAACAAACAATATGTCCAACACCCGTGGCCACTCGAAAAGATTGTTTTCCATCACAAATATTTCATACCGAGTATAAAAACAAACAAAGCTTGATGACTTGTGTTTAAATCAACTGCTATATAATACTTTTGCAACAAAAACTTATTTTTCGCTCTTAGGGAGAAATGTCTTAATGTCTAAGCTGAATATTGTATCTATAAGCGGATCCACACATGTATTATTATATATTCATGAGTTTTACACTTAAACAATCACGTGAAAAAAATAACGTTTTCTCTACAATGGGAATTGGCAAGTTGTTTTCTAAGACATGAGTGAATGGCGCACTTCCACGTCGTGGTACGTACGACATTGTTCAAATATAAAAATAGGTAATTATTGGTCATGACTGATACGCATTTAAAACATAAATGCTCGTGGCTGTTATTTTGATATGGAAACTGTCATGAAAACGCGCATGATATCAGGCATATACATGTTATACATGTTAACTCATTAAAGGAAGCTCTCGCCAAATTTTGCTCAACTGAGCATGTTACTGCGCACATGTGTTACGGAAGCAAACTTCCCATTGTATATGTTGCAAATTCAGGTCTTTTTTAAAATTGTTTTTTCAATATTAGTAACATTATTCATATAAAGATATAAGGAATTACTTTCACCATGGAAACCAGTGTAAAAACGCTACTTTCACCATTTGCAAGATATTTTTTTACTTGAAAGTTATCCGGTCCGTTTTTTTTCTCAATTTCTGTATCAAAGGTTGAGCCAAACTATTTTACGAAAATGCGCATTTACGAGTGTATTGACACGCACTGGACACACCAGACACCGTATCCTGATATTTCAGGCTGTGTCACTCAAACATTCTGTTTTGACAACTTTGCCATTTAGTATACTGTACAATACTTTATTTTAGCTGGAGTTAATTTTCACTGATTTTTGACAAGTTTAATGTAAAATATACTAAAAAAGGTACATTCGCTGGATTTTATTTTCACTGAATCATTCCTTCAGCGAAAATAGCGAAAATTAATTCCAAGCAAAAATAAAGTATTCTACAGTATTACAATTTATACGATTGAATGAATTACATTGTATGTTCCTGTTTTCTTGACGTCTCCTGTTGAGGTTGGTTTGATCCAACTTGTTCTAATCGCTTAACAATCTCCAGTCGCGCATGGCAAACCGGTGAGCAACCCAGCTGGCAATGTTGTTGTTTTTTGTGTTCGGAACAATATGGCGATGACAGTGACCAGTGATAACAGTCATTAAAAGTATGGCATATTTATCTTCAATTCAGCCCGAGGTTCTTTTAAAATATGTGTTATTATACACCCGGCAGCATAAACAGCGTGATTGCGTTGGATATTGGACGACAAACGTCATTATTTCACGTATCCACTTTGCAGCCGCGGCTCGAGGGCACGAATGACGTCTGTAGCAAAAACATTGGTATCTCGTTGTTAACGCTATTGTGCACACAATTTGATCGCTCGTGATTTCTTGTGTAATTTGATATATCTTAGACAATACGAGCAGTGCTACAGTCACTGTTTAGTGGGAAAGTTTACGTGGGAAAATACCGTATCAGTTTAAACACAGATGTGTGTACAATGCGGGCAATATACTTTTAGCCGCGATAGTGTGGGATTATTGGAATGGACAAGAATGCAAACGTGCTTACTAATGTCAATTCTATAAATATATCATGTTCTGTTTTCAAATTAGTGAATGAGCAGCGGTCTGTTTAGCGTGCATATTTAAATCTTGAAATCATGGAGGCAAATCGCCATCGAGTTGAAAGCATTGATATATTTTGCTAGCACTGTTTTTTCGTAGCTTCCGCATCTGATGTATTAAGCCTATGCTTTTTTTAAAGTAACGTCCCAGTCTATACTAGTTCACTTGGTGATATCATGGAGGTAATTATTACCTCCATGGTGATATGCTAATCTGTGTAAATTTCATTGCATTTAGGCACCCGATACAATTTGGTACTATCTTGATCAAATAATTTGCACATGAAGTTGGTGCATATGCAAATTTTGCATTTGTATACATATATCTGGTTAATTAAAATAATAATACATTGTATAGCAGTAAAATGGTGCTAATACACGTAATACGATACATCGTATCCGTAAAAAGACATGAATAACACTCGTATTCTGGCAGCGACTGCACGTTTGAAGATTCGTTTAGTAATATACCCGCATATGACGTGATAAGGCAACGTTCACACTGCTGATATGAAATGTGACACCGTTTTATCACTGATCCTGGCTATATCCCACAACACTTAATGATGTCACGAACGGTGCTCGGGTTATCTTCGTGACTGTGTTATTCAGTCACGCTGGGATGCTGCAATCCATGACTGCTGGTGGCTAGATATACATCAAACACATCTCTGTTTGACATACGCGACTCATATACTCTGACCAATACCATTTCTGTATAGCACTCTCAGGTGATTTTAGTTGAAAGTCATTGACCCACTCAACTGTATATTCCCAATAACTTTTAGTTGGTGTAATCTTTTGCAATTCCCTGGGGAGGTCATACGGACAATTACTCGTAATGCGATGAAGTAAGCGTTGCATATCACGACAAACAAGGTGCCTTCGCCGGATACACGACTGGACAATTTGTGAGCATTTGACGATGTGGTTGGCGATTAACTTTAAGTGTGTATTCGTGTCGGAAATATAACCAGTTATTATATGCCAAGATTATAAACATCCAGGATATTATGCGGCCAAGTGAAGCGTATGTTTACCGTTATCGCTTGTACGGACCGTTGCTAGGAAAAGAACGTCTGTTCCAGATTGCGGTGTTCGCAAATGTTCGGATGGAACGGTGATATGAGTGATTAATTTGAAGAGTAAAATTTATGTATAATCATCTGAGAAGCTTGCAATACAAAATACAGCAGCATGAATATGAGCGTCGGCCAAATAATTTTCTGCGCATGTGTACAAGCGCCCGTAATCGACTATAAAAGGTTATTCGCGGAAAATAAAAAAAAAATCGTTCGAGTGCGATAATTAGCCACAAATTATATCTTTATCATATGTGCAACGTTGTGAGTAAAAAAAAAAAAACTGACCACAGATAAATGGGCGAGAGAGGAAAGAGGAAAGAACAGGGCCGAGACCTGTTTAAATGGAGACAAGTACAGTGTGCGTACTTTGAGAATTGCACTCTTTACTCTGTTGCCATAGAACGTTCAAAGTAAACAAGACGTCATCGTGCTGACTTCTGCACTATTAGCGTTCTTGGTTTGTGCCGAAAACGAGTCACAATTTAACCGGAGTCGAAAAATAACACAGGGTAATAGTATAGCGTGATGTAGATTAAATACCGCTAAATATTACCGGAGCTGAGATTGAGTCAATGTGTTATATTAAATATGAGGGGTTGTCTCATATGTCACACTCGTAATATCAGGCACGATTCATTGAATAAAACTCAAATGAGGATTTCGATAGAAAGCTCATAAAACCGAAGGTCGTGCTAAAAAATTAAAAGAAGTAATTTGCACTTCTATTAATACTGTTCGAAATAGTAGTTATCGTATTATTATCGTATCTCATATGCCTCGGTGTTGGGTTTTCGTTGAGTCTGTCCACGTTCGCTCAATTTATTATATTACATATTTGATGCAGAGTGGGTAATTGGCGGCAACGTGTGCTATGGCATAATCCATTGCATTATTATATAGTTTTGTCAATTTCTGCTCACCTTGTCGATTGTCGTTTTGAAGTACGCGCTGTATTTGAAGATGAAAAAAAACAATATGCGAAAATCACTAAAATGTCAGAATACATACATTTATTTAGAAAGATATAATTTCCATTATAATAAATTAGTCACAAACTAACTATTAGGTAAAATTGAAATTAGTTGTTACTGCAAAAAATGAATATTGAAATGTACTAATCGCCGCAGTCAGTCAGTCAGCCAATCAGCCAGTCAGAAACATATGGCACTTACAATTACGTCATATGATCTATTGCGGCCATTGTGCTTGTGGTTTTTAACGTCGAGACGTGTCTAGATAATAGAACATTTGTTCGGAAAACCAACGAAAACGCCACTTTCGTATTGGCTATAACTGTCCATAATTATGTGAATGTGCCAAACGTTAGAAGTCATAGTGCAATTGACAAACATCGCATGCGCATGCGTCATTCTATATCAAATATATACATTACTATAGCAAGCAATGAACATTACCATCATTGAGAACACCATATATGGGAATATAAATGTATATTTAAATTTGTTGTTCCGGGATAATCCGATTAAACACAAACGCCCACAACGTAAACACATTTGTAATATTGTATATTGGGTGCGATTCACTCGATTGCTCCAACAATATTTTGTTGTTTAACGCCCTAGTTTATAACTTTCACACCGAGTATATTAGCATATGCAATTTACAAGGCGGCAATAGAGCTTCCATGCCGTTAACGAATAGCCGCGCTCTAACGTGGCTTCGTTGTACAGGGCTAATACGTGTCGCTGGCATGTATGGATAGCGAAGATGTGATACTATTTGGTCTATCATCTGTGATACCAGCAGCTATATAGGCAATACGTGTTGTCCAGTGGATTAATCACACTAAGATAAACGATTTGTAATTAAAGCGCCTCCCTGCAAGTAACTCATCTCCCAGATGATATTTTGCGAGCAAAATATTTCTGATTAACAGTATAGCGCCCTTTCTCAGTAACTGTCACTTTAAATATATTATGACTAAGACGTAAGATAATAATCCTATAATCTCGCTATAGTCTCCTTAGAACATGTTTACATCCGGGACAACTCTCCTACCCATAATGCACTAATACAATAATGCACGAACAACCAGATTTTTAGAAAAACAATAGTTGTGATAAAACTAAACAAATAGATGCACACTAAATTTACAAAATTAGCTACATGAAACAGCGACTTGTTTGGTTTTTCAGAATACGAAATATAGAAATATTTTTTTTACTCATATTGAAACTGTAAATATTATACATATATCCAGTGTATGACGTGTTGAGGTGGTAATTTGGCACCGACAATTCGTCTTGCTTACGCATGAAAAATATATTGATGATCTGTCTGTGTTATTATACACAGTATGTTCCGTATATCTTCTTTACGACTAAACAATAAAATACATACAACATATATTAAAGAAAGAAATATTGACTTTGCGTAATCAACATGGACGAGCACTCTTTCTCCTCCGTTGAGAACTAATAAAGAAAACTTTTTTTGTGTGTAAATGCAAATGTTTATACAATTTCTCAATTTATGGTCAACAAACAATATTGATATATGTATGTTTGAGACAGACAGCGTTGTTACTATGACAAAAAGTTGAACAAGCAACATGTTTCGTCAATTTAATGCAAACTATACAATATAGTACTCTTTGGAAAAAAACACTCTGGTTTGTTTTGCAGATGACCACATGCTACCTGATTTAGATAGTGTGGTATAACTGTCTATCGTAGATAGGCTACCGTTAATTCCATGCAGACAGACGTGTGACTTGTGAATATAATTCAACAAGTGCACGTTCTCAGACAGAGTAAATTATTGTTCGTTGCGTGGTGCGACTGACCATGTCACGACTTGACGAGTATCGCATGTTGGTATGTTCGCGGTATTTCCTCGCCATCATTTTCTTGCGATGTTTGGATTTAAAACAGCACAAGATGTATTTCTTGTAATATGTCTTGAACGTGTTACTCAGAAAATAAAGAGCCAGGGGATTCACACAGGAATTAGCATACGCCATAACGGTACCTAAAAACTTGAAGAACATCATTCCGTACGTCTGCATGTAGGTCGTGTCTGGACTGAAAACTAGCATTATGTTAAACAAGTGATGGGGCAACCAACATATGCCGAAGATAAGTACAAATACAAGCACGACTTTAGCCAGCCGTTTTCTGGCTTTCAGTTGTTTGGTATCGTTACGTCGATTTTCCCCGATAAGGTGTTTTGAGCTCTGTATAAGCTTGATGGCTATGAGTACGTAGTATACACTGATGATGCTAAGAGGTACGAGGTATAACACGATGGCCATGGCCGCTGTATGTCCTTTTGTAACCAAGGTCATGTACATCGGAATAGCTTGGCAATAATAGACTGTTGAGTTATTGGGGAAGTAGAATGGAACCACCGTTGCTAGCACTAGAGTCGGTATACCCAGCGCAATGGCGAACAACCAAATAAGTATGGCTACTGTGTATGTACGTTGCATCATGTCCGTTGCCTTCTTGTTGATTGGGTTGACGATAGCGTGGTAGCGATCGGCGCTCAACGCCGTCAGCGTAAACACAGAAACGCCGGTACTGGCCACCTGAACGCAGTTTATGACCTTGCACATTCCTTCACCGAGCGGCCACGATGTAGTCATATAGGTAATGGCGTTGAAAGGTACGAATACAAACAGTAGTAGAAGGTCTCCCATAGCCAGGCTTGCTATGAATATATTGGGTACGCTTCGCATGGGTGGGTTACAGAGAACTATCCGCACTAACGTACCATTACCGATCACACCGACGAAAAAAATGAGCGCAAATATAGCCGGGATGATAATTGACTCGACGCCAAGACCTTCAAAGAAGTATTCGTATTCGTAAGTATCGTTGAATGTCACATTCCAATCGCAGCAGAATTGTTGACTGCCATTGACGTAGGTAATACCTAGACCCTCTCCGTCTCGCGTCATATTGGCGAATGGTAAATCTGGCACATAATTCTGCGTCATGGTGATGTGAAAGAAATGGATCGGTATACGGTACTATTTCAATTCAAGGATACGTCGATGAGGTTCCTGCAAAAAAGACACATATAAACACGTTTAGTTGAATCGTTGACCTTAATCACAAATTGGTCTCATAAACACGCTAATTGATTACAGCAACCGTTAATGTTAATGTTTCTTATATCAAATCACGATGTAATAATACGAGATTTGAATTCAGTACACCATATCTCACGTACATACTAGAAACATTGATAGCAGGAATTGAGTCTGGAAGTGACGTGTCTGCATCTTGCGTGCGCGTGAAGAGAACTAAATTTGTCTGTAGGGTACATTTTTTATAAAAAAAAATCATTGGCGCATAAACTGAATAATATCGTCAAAAGAAAGTGTAAATCGACGAAACTGATAAGAATACAAGTTTATGCGAGTATCGGTCAAGGAACTTTCGCTTTGATAGCCGTACTGCCCAGTACTTAGCGTTAAAACAATAGTAGAAATATTGCATGGAATAACACTTCTTTCAATGGTTATGCAATGAAACCTACAGTGTAATTGGAAATGAATATATACTATATATTTTACGGTATATGGAGTTATTTGTAATATAATAGACATTTGTATTCTCCACATATAAATAATTCATTTATTCCGACTTTTTTTGTTGCTAAGACACCTGTGGGCGTAGTATTGACATTATAGTTCTTGAAGTACAATTCAACTTACAAACACTTTTCACTCATATCTTGAAAAAATAAAAATGAAATCCTAATTTACGTATAACGTCATTAGCCTAATGAGTACAGTTCTAAAAGGTGTGTTATAAAATAGTATTAGTTTGACTACTGTACTCAGCCATTGATTATGTAGGCGACGCACGTGCACTGGACTAAGTTATATGTACCCTATAACTTGAATACGGGTGAATGTACATGTTCAATGACGTCATTCGTCATCGAATGGCGAATCGTATTGGTGGCCTTGTACAATCAAATGATTGACACGAGAGTGGAGGGTGATTGAACGATTGGTGCTGATTAATTGTCCACAATTCTCTGGTCTCAATTCTACTTGCTGTTGCCCCAAATCAGTTTCGAAATATATGCTTTCTCACGTACACGATAAACAGTCGTGACAATACAGATGTGCAGCGTTCAACCATTGCCGTTAGAATTCCTGTAAACGACAGTAACTATATAGTGGCTATCTAGTGCGTAATCACTGCATGTGTCACGTGACAACAGTGTAGATAATACAGACACCCGGCCATAAAACCTTATTTACCAAATGATTAAAGATATGTCACTACATACATAGATTCTGAGAGATGAACGTGACAAGCTGTCAACAATATCGAGAATGGCTTGATTTTTGCGCCAACAAAAAAATATTGGTTAAATATTATGAACAAAATTGTTGGTGACCTCTTTTCACAAAAATAAAGATGATTTCCGAATTAATACGTATTGTGAATTATTTTGAATCCGTCAAAATACTGGATATTGGGATGCATTTTTATTTTGTTCTACATTCAACCGTATTTTCGTGGTTAGGGTTTCAACAAATGCAGCCACAAATCATAATATTTGTATTTGACAATTTCAAAACAATTCTGCCACAATTCCCGCTCCCCGAACTGATAGCGTCTGCGCGTTTATCGCGGGTGCGCTTGCGCTACATTCAGCAGGCGCACACGTGATGATAAAATAAATGCGATATTAACTATTACTTGTCTCTTTATCTTCAGTTATAGAGTAATATTTTTCATATTTTAGGAGGTATTTAGTTAAAAAACTATGTCACGGTGATATTTACTCAACGAAACACACACGTATCACTGTCTCTTTTCAGTTCATTTTCTCTAAAACAAATCCACGTTTTTCAGTTGTAATGCTGTAGAATATTTTATTTTTGCTTGGAATTTATTTACGCTATTTTCGCTGAAGGGATGATTCCGTGAAAATAAAATCCAGCGAATATACTTTGATTCCTATATTTCACATTAAACTTATCAAAAATCAGTGTAAATAAATTCCATAAAAAAAGCCCAAAAAGCCTTTTCAGCGAAAATTAATTCCAGCGAAAATAAAGTATTTCACAATATATATTTTGTTCTGCCTGCATATTTCGTACAACCCACACTCACTCCGCTGTCTTTTAAAAACTTACTTTTCCCGGGGGTTGCATGTCTATTGTTATTTTGACTTTTCGTATTCCTGTTCTACTCTCACCCGTTGCCCAGTTGGTTACGAATGAGCAAATAGAATTTCATCGCGCCCGTCCGTAATTTGGGAATGGGGAATTGACGTATAATATTTTAAAATTATTTCTTTCAATTTCTAGTGAAAGGTACGTGTAGTAAATTGTACGGAAACATTCTTTATAAAAGAAGATACACCTATTAAAAGGTAAAAACACCAGCTAGGTAAATTAATGCCAACAATTCACGTGCCGTTTGTCAGTGTGTTCTACTGCAACCGGAGAGTTTCTAATAGCTCATTTTTACTCTTCAAAGGGTAAACAGTTGTAACCACAAAGTGCTTACAAATAAATCAACCTGACTTGTACATTTAAAGTATGACACGACCAAATTTTACTGACATAAACTGTGTGAATTAAAAACAAAGAACTCACCCAGCTGTGACTAAGCCGTGGAAATAAATGGTGAAATTGTAAAATTGAATTAAATATATTTAGTATGTCATGCGTATTTATGCTGCAGCTGATGGTAACATAACATTTATCTTGTTTCTTTTTGTTTACTAGTCTCTCTATGAGTTATCGGTGTTTTCACACGTTGTGTCAATAAATCACGCACTTCGCTGATTTTTGTAAAGTACTGTAAAATCTTTTATTTTCGCTTGTAATTTTTGCTAAAGGGATGATTCGATGAAAATACAGTCCAGGGAATATACCCGCTCTCTATATTTTTCAATTAACCTCGTCAACAATCAGTGATAATAAATTCCACACAAAACACCCAAAAAGTCTTTTCAGTTAAAATCAATTGCAGCTAAAATAAATTATTTTACAGTAATCCCGATGACGACGAGAACGTGACGTCATGTACTACTCCGGAATAGTAGCTACGCGGCGTGATTAAATCGGATATGTATATTATTGATGAATAACAGTTCTTGTACCTCACCATCGTAGATGACATTCTACGTGGAAGTAACGCGATTTACTCGATCCAGCATTTTACGGAAAACAAATAGTAAAACGCATCCAATTGGTGATTGTCCGCCCTCTACGATAAGTGGCGACGTCGTCATAAAACATGCTGCCAATTATCCTTTTAAGTAGTTTCGAAAGTGGAAATAATTATAACAAACCCAACTATCGAACGTTGAACACAATTTACAAGTCCAAGCACACAAAACAAGCAAAGGGAAGGAAGATACGTGAACCCCGTGGTATACATGATTGATTGATTATTGTTATTATATTCGATTAAGAGTTCTATGTTGATTAATGTACGAATTAAATGTCGCAGTGCTGATAATTGTTTCTCTCCAGTCGCCCTGTAGTATCAGTGATTGATTTAGAAAAACTCCTGGAGCCAGACGCAAATGAATTACCCAGCAAACTAGTGAGATAAAACCCAAAGTTTACACAGTCTTGTCAGTAGCTTTGTTTTGACTCTAGGAACGGTACACGTGTGCTTGAAACTATATTATATGACGCATTGTTTCTGCACTGATTCCTCCACACGTACGGGTAATTTGGTTGTATCTTGATTACATTACATTACATTAAATTCATTACACTACATTACATTTTTCGACAAAATTTATGTTTGAAATTAGTTACTTGCTACCATACGATACTATGAGGTTATTACGCGGATACCTCAAAGTATGCGCGGAAACAGTACAGCGGAAGTATCGACCGACGCGCAGCGGAGGTCGATGCGACAGCGTACTGTCCAAGGATACATCATGGGAATGCCGAAATAAAAAAAAAGTTTAGAACAGAATCAGCGAACTTTTTTGTGTGGAGTCCGGTCAAACCCTGATGGCAACAATGTTAGTTTTTAATAATAGAGGACGTTTACGAGCATAATCATTCCATATTTGGAATTTGTATTACCTATTATGGTAGGATGAAAATACCCCATAAAATACAGCAAAATTATGGCACGCTGTAACTTATGGCGTTACGGTGACAGATGTATAACAATGTCATTCAATTCGTTCTTAACCGAAGAAAAAGTGAACGTGACGTTAAAGGGCGGTGATCATCGCAAACCCAACTATAGACAAACAATGTATTTTACACGCGTTGCGAACGTCGATATATGAGTCCCATATCGAAGAGAACGCGACGGAACGACCACCGCCCTTTAACTCTACCGGTTGCATCTAAAAAATACTGAACGGGGGGCCTCATTTGCATATGTTTCATTCAACCTTTTATTGGTTTTATCGAATTTGCCTTTGTGAAATAACCACAGTGTTCTAACCTTTTCTATATCAGACATTCTCAAAAGGCAATATACATTCTTACAATAGAATTCGCACCGGCTTTTGTCAATTGATTATATATATATCTTTTATATTAATTCTATTGTTCTAAGCGGTACACCTGTGCGCAGTAAATGTTTTTTTTCGCATGTACCTAATTCTGCTTCCCTATATGGATGTCCATGCCGTGTTCAAAGCTGTCTGCCTTCGATGTTTCGTAATGATTTAGTCTGAGAAAGAAGTCACAAAATAAGCTGCATTTGAGCGACAATCGCTTTAGCAGTTCCCACTACTAAATGCCTACGAAAAGATTTTGACATCGCAAAGTTGACTTTCTTGTCAGAATCTTGTGAGTTATGATTTGCTGATTATATCCGTGGAAGTTTGTGACGAGAGCTAGGCTATGGTTTTAAACGTATATGAAACAATGCATAGTAATCGCCAGACTGTTCAACTTCTCATTACTCTATTGGCATTGTAACTTCTGAATTCATAATATCCGGGGAATCCCCATGCGACAAAAATACCATTTCTGAC